GTGCCTAGCTGCAGCAGCTAGCTGCAGGCGCGCCGCAGCTAGCTGCGCAGCTACCTGCACAGCTAGCTACACAGCTAGCTACGCAGCTAGCTGAGGCGGCAGCTTAGCTAGCTAGGGGGACTGCCTATCCAGCTGCACAGCTAGCTGCACAGCTAGAAACACAGCTAGCTGCGGCGGCAGCCTAGCTTGGGGGACTGCGTGGCTAGCTGCACAGCTAGCTACGCAGCTAGCTGCGGCTGCAGCCTAGCTAGCTAGAGGGGCTGCGTAGCTAGCTGGGGCGCTGTCTGCCTCTTCTATAAGAAGGGGCGGCAGCTGCCTGCCGGTGGACTGAAATGCATGCAGCCTGAGAGAAGCGACACAAAAGCAGCAACAAGCCGCAGCAACTTTTGCTGTTGCTGCCTTTGCTGCTGCATTTCCTGCTGCCTTTGCTGCTGCGCTTGCTGCTGCTCAGTGCTCACCGCAGCTAGCCAAACACCCTAGCAGCAGCTGGCTACCGCACTCGCTAGCTAGCTAAAAAGTTAGCCAAATAAGTAGCTAGCCGCCTAACTAGCGATTTAGCTAGCTCGCTAGCTAGCTGGCTAGTTGTGGGTGGGCTACTGGTCAGCAGGACACTCAGGTAGCTATATAGCTAGCTGAGAGGCAAACAGCTAATGGGGGGGAGGGGGGCCAACGCAGCTGTTTAGCTAGCTGGCTAGCTAGCTGGCTAGCTCTCAGGGCAGCTAGGTGGGTGCCTACTGGGGCAGCTAGCTGGCTAGGTGTCTGGCTAGCTATCAAGGTGGCAGCTGGCAAGCTATCAGGCAGCTAGCTAGCTAGCTAGCTAGCTGGGGGTGGGTCTTGCCCGTCTCTTAAGGCCCTGGGGTCGTCGAGGAGACAGTGAGAAAGAACGCGAGACAGGCAGCGTCCCACAGTCTCTTCGCTGGTGGTCTGAGCGCAGACACCCATCCTCAGCACTGCTGCTGCTGCTGCTGCTGTGGCTGCTGCTGCTGTGGCTGTGGCTGCTGCTGCTGCTGCTCACTCTGGCGTCCAGGGCGTGAAGTAAAAGAGCGAGATGGAAGAAGGCGGTCTGGAAAGCAGCGAAGTCCATTTGGCTCCCCGCGACTGCAGCAGCAGTAGCAGCAAAGGCAGCAGCAGCAAAGGCAGCAGCAGCAAAAGCAGCAGCAGCAAGCACATGAGCAGCGTTACCAGCAACGAAAGACTACTGCTTACGGAGCAGCACAGCGAGCGGGGCTGCCCAACCAGCAGCAGCAGCAGCACCAGTAATAGTAGGAGCAGTAGCAGCACTGCAGCACCGGTGGCAACAGCAGCACTACAGCAGCAGCAGCAGCACTGCAGCAGCAGCAGCAGCACTGCAACAGCAGCAGCAGCAGCAGCAGCAGGAGAGCGGGACCTTGTTTGAAGAAGCACATCATTTGGGGAGAAGGCGCCAAGTTGAGAAAGAGGGAAAGGCGGCCCCAGGCCTTTTGGCTCAAGAGGGCCCCCTGGGGTTTAAAGCCAGCAGCAAAAGCAGCAAAGAGTTTTTGGAGACCCTTGTTGGTTTGCTGCAGCAGCTGCTGCACTGTGGGGCTCTGCAGCAGCTGGGGGCGG